CCCCCCCCCCCCACCAAGGATGAGTGTTTTTATTGGCATTGGGACTGGAAACTCTATAGGGGCTTCTGGTTTCTGGGCTGTGGGTTTGGGTGTAGAGTCTTAAGTCAAAGGCCGAGGACTAGGGCAGGGTATCAGAGGGTGATGGCATCCTCGTACAGGGACAGCAGCAGCAGGACAGTCCAGCCGCCCCGCAGGCCCACGATGCACAGCAGAAATAAGAGCCAGGACCGCGGGTCCCACACTTTCAACATGACCGGGAGCGTGTCGCAGAGCCCCAGGTAGAGGAACAGGCCCGTGGCAACCGCCTGGATCCAGACCTTGCTCTCCTTGCCGACTCCGATCGCGAGTGCCATGTGGAGACCAGCGAAGGCCAGGTTCAGCAGCAGCCCTTGGCGCATGGACAGCCCCGCGTGCAGCAAGGCCGCGAAGTCCCCCAGCCCAGCGAGGCGGCCAGCCGGTCTTCCAGGAGGACGCGAAGGCAGCGCCACGGCCAGCCAGCGGCGAAGTTGTGCACGGCGTCGCCCAGCCGGATCACAGAGGCAGCAGCCTCAACTCTGGGCTCAGTCTTCTGGGCTCAGGGTGCAGCAGCTCCGGGCTCTCCTCCGCCACCAGATCTGCGCTTTGTTTTTGATGGATGCTGAGGGATACCTGCCCCTGTGTCTCTCTCAGATGGATATTAGCAGGGAACTGTGCCCCTGTCCACAGAGGAAGGGAAAGTGGGCCGAATGTGGGAATGACCGGCGAAACGTGTAGCTGTGCAGAATGATTGTGGGGCAGAACTCAAGACATCCACGGAACAGCCTTCCCTCCACATACCGCCTTCATTCGTCCTCCTCCAGCTCCCCCAGCCCCACTTTCAGGGAAAAACAATCTGCCTGATAAGTCCCTGAGGCTATGGGATATCTAGAGATGCTAGAGATTAAGATAGTTCTATTTTATATAACCCGCTTCTGTTGCTAACCTATCTCTTTTAGCCTTTGCTAAAAGATTTTTTCCTCCTGACTTAAAAATCGTTTGTCGGCCTCTCTCTGGTGTCCCCAGGATCCATTTTACTTTCTTTTTACTGTTCATCAGACTTTTTGGAAAATTTCAGTTCTATGTATTGCCTGACTGTGATGCTGAATTGCTCCGCTGCATCTCTTGTACTTTATTAGGGTGTAGGGTTCAGAAAACGATACCCCAAATGAAGGCCTCAGAAGCAGATCTGTCTGATCTCCTGCCCTCCAGTCTCTGGCCCTTCATTCTCCCCCAAGACAAGCCATAGAAACTAGAATTCCTCTTTCCCAAGGTGGCTCCTAGAAACCAGAATCCTTTTTCCCAAACCAGCCATAAAACCTAAACATGATACTCTAACACCTCAACTTTCTGTGTGAAATCTGGCCATAAAGACGTTATCTGACCTACCTTGTTTGATTGTGGCTCATAAGAGCCCATTCCAGAGAGGGTTCTGCCCCGTACTCAGAAGGAATGAATGCTGCAGAGAGATATCAGGAAGACTCTTATCTTGCTAGGTGTCCCCACTCAGTCTGTTAGCATGAGGTCATACTCCTTTTGACCAGTTGTATTTCTCCACACCTGCCCACACTTTGTTGAACCTAAGCATAAAAATGGACAATTTGTTTTGTAGCTTTGGATCTTTTTCCAAAGGCTCTCATGTTGGGTAAAATTATGATCAAATAAATTTGTATGCCTTTTCTCCTATGGATCTGCCTCTTGTCAGTAATTTTTTAGCAAACCTTCAGAGAGCAATGGAATTTTTTTCCCTTGGCCCAACAAGGGATTAAAGCTGTTTTTAAAAGAAGCTAGAGTAGGTAAGGAAGGAAAAAGAACAGTGTTTCTATTTATTATTTTTTTCTCTCCAAAAAACTAGAGTCAGGGATGTAAATTATTGTTATAAGTTTGGGGCAAAATTAATCTAGGATAAGGGGTTTAGGACATTGGAAAATTGAAGAAACTTATTTATTAGGTTACATTTTTTCACAACTTTTTTACTGTCACATTAAATATTTTAAATACAACTTAAAACCTACATAATTTATATATTCACATTTCTTTTTGACAAAAATTATTTGATCTTTCTTTACTGAAATCGTCACTAATATACACTGAGCTTTTAATATATACTAAGCATCACACTAAGTACCATTGAAAATTATTTAATCCTTACAATAAGTTTAAGAAAGATTATTAAAATTATTATTTTACAGTTAAGGAAACATAGGTTGTTATTTTTATTCTTAAATAACTTGCCCAAGATCCCAAAGTAATATTCATGTGTCAGATTCAGATTAATCATACCCCAAAGAATGGTACAAATATATTTTTTAAACCTCACAAGAGGAATCACATGTTCCAGAGTATAATCACCAAAATAAGTCTGAGGCTGGATATATAGGAGATGCTCTACAATAATTTATAAAATAAATCAGTACATAATTGTAAATCTCTCAAAACTGTAATGAAACATTCAAATGAAATTCTAATTTTGCTATTACTTTAGCCTATTTTGAAAACACATTCTCTTTGTTCTTTCTACATCATACAATGTTTTTTCCCATCATCTAATACTTGCCTTACATAGGTATACCTCATTTTATTGCCCTTTACTGTATTATACTTCACAGATAAGGTGTTTTCACAGATGGAAGGTTTGTGGCATCCTTGAATTGAGCAAGTCTGTTGGTGCCGTTTTTCCAACAGCCTGTGCTCACTTTATATCTCCGTGTCACATTTTGGTAATTCTTGCAACATCTCACATTTTTCATTATTATTTTACATGATGATCTGTGATCAGTGATCTTTGGTGTTACTGTTATAATTGTTTTAGGGTACCACAGACCACAACCCAAACTTAATCCATTAACGTGTGTATTCTGACTACTCCACTGACCAGCCGTTCATCCACCTCTCTCTCCCTCCCCTCAGCTTATTTCCTAAAACACAGCATTATTGAAATTAGGCCAATTGATAGCCCTGCAATGACCTCTAAGCATTCAAGTGAAACGAATAGCTGCCTGTCTCTTCCTTGAATTCAAAAGCTAGAAATAATTAAGCTTTTGGGGAAAGTCATGCCCAAAGATGAGTTAGGTCAAAAGCCAGTTCTCTCGCACCAAACAGCCAAGTTGCGAATACAAAATAAAAGTTCTTGTAGAAAATTAGAACTGCTACTCCAGTGAACACACAAAGGATAAGAGAGCAGAACAGCCTTATTCCTGATATGCACAAAATTTGAGGAGTCTGGACAGAAGATCAAACCAGCTGAAATATTTCCTTAAACCAAAGCCTAATCCACAGCAAGGCTGTGAACATCAAGCAAGTCCCTTGATCAGCAAAAAGGACTCACTGAAGGCTCATATGGTCATTAGCATTTTTTAGCAATAAGGTGTTTTTAATTTAAGATTGAACATTTTTAAACATAGTGCTATTACACACTTAATAGTCTGCTTTATAACTTTTATATGCACTGGGAAACAAACAAAAAATCATGT